AATCATATAAAATTCTCGAAAATGCAAATAACTTCAGAGTGACAGGAAGCAGCACAGTGGCTGCATGGGTGTGGCGAAGGATTGCAAAGGGATGGGGGAGTCTCTTTGGATAATGGATATCTTCATTTTCATGACTGTGGTAATGGTTTCACAGGTGCGTAAATGTGTAAAGATTTATCAAATTGTATACTTTAAATATGTGTAGTTTATTGTATGTCAATTATACCTCCATAAAAGCATTTAAAAAATAGAACAGTTTTAATTAACAAGGTGAAAGGTTTCTATCTTACTTTTTTTTAGCATAGACTATAAGCTGCATAAGAGCAGATACATTGTTTATCTTGCTTATTTTGGGTCTCTAGTGACTAAAGTTGTGTGTACCGATTACTACTTCTGCATAACTAATTAATGCAAAATGTAGTGACATAAAATGGTCACCTGTCGTGTTCATGGATCCAGTGCATTAACAGTTAGGGCGGAGTTGGGATGGCTTCTCTCTGCTCCATGATGTTTGGGGTCTTAACCAAATTGCTGGGTACCAGAAGCATTGGACCTCCCTTATCACTTTGTGTGGTCTCTCCAGCAAGGAGGCTCCAAGGTAGCCAGACTTGTTACATGTCAGTTCTGGGCTCTAAAGGTCTGACCCCCAAGGGAGAAATGTAGGAGAAGGCTGTGTTATTAGTTTTGTAATCTAGCCCCTGAAGTCACTAAGGGGCACTTCCTCCACATGATTTTTGGTTGAGTCAGTTATAAAAATTCGCCCAGGTTTACAGCTAAAGAAATAAACACCACTCTCAATGGAGGATTCTCAACACTTTTGCCAACATTTTAAGAACATGTGGGATAGAATATATATCAGTGTCACCATCTTTGGAAAATTCAGCCTGCCGCACTGTGTCAATGTCACACAAGGGATGAAGATATGAACATGAGTTAGTCATTTTAACTTCATATGCAGTCTTTCATGCGATAGAAGATGAAATTCAGGCATTCATTACACAGATGCATAGAGTGCATCTTTTTACACAATGTGGTTTCAAGACAGAACGTTTTAACGTGTACCCTGAAGGAACTTACATTTATAGATAAATATGTGAGAAAAGAGAAAGAAAATATAGAAAATGGCACCTTAGGATAGAAGGTTTAAGTCTTAGGGAAGGTATTTAGTACTATCAGGGTTTTGAGAAGGCAGAGGCTACTACTGGCTGAAGAAATCAGTAAATGCTGATGTTGCATGGGGTGTGGGGTATTAGAACTAAGACTGGAAAGGTTAGCAAAGTTTCTAAAGATGCTGAGAGACAAGCACTGAAAGTAAGAAAATAAAAGTTTGATTCAAGAAATGGATCAATCCTAGTATGGTATCTGAAATTCCAAGGCCCCTTTAGAGCTACAGATTCTACACCCTACTTCTAGAGTATTCTAATTTATTAAATTCCCCTCCCCCAGGACATTTTGATGATCAATCAGATTTTGAAACCTCAGAGGTGTAGGATCTACACAGATGGAAATAAAGATGTCTGTAAGAAAAGGTTAGAACCAAATCATAGGGGTCTCAGAATATGAATTAAAAAGTCTGCAATAGAATCTGATGATTATTTCACTTATATTAATTAACTTATCACAGCACCACACTTTTCAGCTAAATGCTATACATTGTGGTAAGTCAGATTATAAATCAGTAAACAGTAAATAATGGCAGCATTAAGTACTTGAAGATGCACAGGCAAGCCTGTAGCATAAATTTAAATTATAATTTTTTAAAATGTGGAATTTAGAGTTAGGAGAAAGCTTAGCAGTCCTTCAGTTTATTTCCCTAAGTTCACAACCTTATTTAATTCTTCCGCGAAAGTATATATGATGCTCCTGATAGGCACCTTCCTATTTTGTGTGGACTTCAGAAGTTCTTTTCACAGGAACAGTTTCAGGGGAGAAACATTACGTGATATGGATTGAAAGGTGCCTTATGCACACAAGATGTTATAATATTGCTGTCATATTATTTATAAACCATAGGCTTTTTGTATCACTTTTATGCACTGGTAGATTTTGGCAGTTCTATGGTTTCCCTTTGATATATAATTTATTGTGTCAACTAATCCTGAAAAAAGATCCACAATAAATAAATAGATACATTGATGTTCATCCATCAAAACTACACAGTATGAAATGTAAGTTAATTTGAAGAAAAGGAAAGCTATATAAGAAGCATAATCATTTTTTGCCAATTTTGAATTGCTAAATTTGTTTTTTGCCAAAATTTTAATTTCTCATTAGGATTGTATGTACTGTTTCTCTCTCTCTCTCTCTCTCTCTCTCTCTCTCTCTCTGTATTTCTCTCTCAGAATGGCATCTGTGAGTCTCTTTTGATAATGAATACACCAAGGGGGCCCAGAGTTAAGTCTAGGCCTCAGAACTAGGAACATTTCCATCAAAGATGGTTTGTTAATAATAAGGTAAGGAGGGAAAAAAGCTGTTTGCTTCTTTTGTGGCTCTGACCCTCCCTTGGTCCTGCCAGGCCTGCCTGAGCATCAGCAGAGTTCAGTGGTAATTAAAGCAACAGTGTTGTGAAAAAAGTGTGAATTACTTTTACAGGAAGACTTGGATGTTGCTACTGACTGACAAAGCACAGCGGGGGACTCTGCTGGATATTAAAGTGTGATGGTAGTCCCTGTATTGTAAGGTGGCTTTTCAGCACAATGCAAAATTGTGACTTTTCACAAGTTGATATCTCTGGAACCATTCGAGTTATCAGCTTAAAATTTAGATATATATTTTTTCCCCTTGGCAAGCCTGTGGAGCAAAACTGTGTCACATTTCATGAAATGCGATATGGTAGTTGGAATTATGGAGAGCTAAAGTATATTTTCTTCCTTTTCTTCCCCTGGATTTTGACTCTATCATGGAATTATTTCAACCTTGAAGATTGCAGAAAATAGTCAGGAAAAAGCTATAAAGGGATCATATGTTCAACCCTCTCTTGGCAAGTTATTTCAATGTCAACTATCTAGGCTTTCTGTTTCTGTCATTTTTTAAAAAAGAAAGAAGTGCAGACCAGCACTCTGTTGACAATGCCAAGAAATGCCAACTCTGGGCTCTCAGCACTGGTGTATAAATACCCAGAAGGATGGTGGGTTCCTCCCACCACGCCCAGCCAGGAAAAGTTCTGATCTTACTCCTGTCACTGCCAATCTTGTTAAGCCAACTCCCACACAGGTGTGATATAATGTTGATTATGCTCCTTATCCAGTGAGAAAAAAATATCCTTAACCAAATCCAATAAATCACCTTTTGTGGATGTGAATCAAGAGGATAAAATAGGATAAAATAGCCCAATATACTATTAACCACTTTTCATTTTATAAGCTAACAGACACTATCAGTATTCCTGAATCAAGTTCACAGAGAACATGTGGAATTCTATGTGAAGACATCATCGACAGACCAGGGAAGACTGCAACTGATAAGATGCAACTGAAAAGTGATGGGAAGTATGTATGTTATATGAACCTGTATTAGTGATATATTAATGGTGTAACCAATGAATAATACATCATGTAATATGCAAATGCTCTTTAATGTTCATCACTTTCTCTCTGAAGTAAATGAGTTGAGACAGTAAGTAAAATTTGTATGGTTTGTATATTTTTGGTAACCCTATTGACATCTGACCACAGTGGGACACTCTGTGGATCAATGGACACAGCAAAGCAGAAGGCAACACAGTAAGGTGAATAAGAGTTCACCCACACCCTGTGCAACCCCAATTTCTCCATGTGCAAAAAGGTTGTAATAAGCATTCCCACCTTATTTTAAAAATTAAGTGAATTAAGATGTTAAAAATAGTTTAGCAAAATGCCTGACATTTAGGAGTAATTAAGAAAAGCTGTTACTAGCATCATCATCAAACTAGGTGCTACAATGATGCAAGGTGATTCAAGGAATCCCCTTTGCTTTTAGATCTACTGATTCTGTGTCATTTGTCAAGCAGTGGGGTAATATTTTTTAAGTAGTGTGAGGTTAAGAAATGGCATTTAGGGGATGAGGCTGTGACATGCCAAACAATAGATGGTTTAAGTAGACAACAATGATATAAACAGAATAACTGGGGTGCTCAAAATGACATTCTTTCACCCCACTAGTGCAAAGTTTAATTAGTATGTAAATGGCATACTCATTTAAAATTGACATAATGCCACCTCTTTTCATGCCAAGCTGTCAGGGCCTATGAAACTGTAAAATTCCTGACACTAAACATTTGTTGTAAACTGATCCTTCCAAAAGTAACTTAACTAAAGCTGAAAAGGCAGGAAAGGTGATAATCACTTCAAAAAAAATCAAGCCACTTCTTCATTCTTTCTTTCAGAGAAAAGGACCCAAACTGCTTTTGGGGAGAGATTCACCACATTATATTGGACTGAGGGCATATTCTGTAAAAGAAAAAAAAAAATACATGAACCACCAACCCCAGAGTGATGAAAAGCAAAACGGGTGAGGAAAAAAATACCCTCAATTGACATAGCTATTTTCATCACATCAAATCAGCCATCTGTTCTTGACATAGTTTATTATCATTAGGAAGATTTTCTCAATTCAGACATGGTGATGAGGAAAGATGAAGAATTAACCAGATAAATAGCCAATTTGGAAAATTCAGGCTGAGACCCTTTTCCTCAATTTCCATCCCCTCCTTTCTCCCAGCTCCATCATCACACTCCAATTATTCCAAGAAAAGCTTCAAAGGCATGATTAGACATGTTTATGGTGGTGTTTTTCTCTCACTTGCATAGGCATAACAAACTAAACACACTAGGTATCAAATGACACAAAGGTGATCGACATTGTACAAAAAATAGTAATTTTCCATTGTTAAAAATGACTGTAAAACTTAGAATGACAGGTGGCTACAGTTAAGAGTGAAGGAATTAAATACTCTGAATCGAAGTATAAAAATGCTGCTGTTTTTTTCCCAGAATTTATTCGTTAGAAATCCATCAATTTACCTTGGGATAAGAATGTTTGGAGAAGAAAATTTTCTTTGAAATCATCACGAAGTAATTCCAACAGCTCTGTGTGAGATAATCTGGAAGGAAAAAGTAAATGTTGGAAACCAATAATAAAAAGAAAATATTTAAATCCAATGCTTGATATCAACTTCATAAACTGAAGTTGGAAATTCACAAAAGTTAAGCTTATAAATTTAGGGGGGAAAAGTTAAAATAATACTTGACAAATATCAACACAACTATTTAAAAATTACTCAAGCTTGTTATTTTATTTACATAATGTCAAAAACAAGTGTGATTCTCCCTCAAATAATTTACAAATTCATGATGTTAGATTTATAAGAATCTAATTCACAGATTTTGAATTATGCTTGAAATTATATCTTTTTTATTAAAAACTTAAAACTGTTAAGGAAGTAACTATTAAATCATGCAGATTCCACAAAACAACTTCCATCCTAATCCCTAGGTTATTTTGTGTATATATATATCTGTCTTTGATAACATTCCTGTGGTCTCTTATTCTGATCTTTTATACCTAAATATCTGACTTACAACTCATTGTCAAAAAAGTAACTTTTTATAACTCTTCATTCCTCATCATCTCTTTGAGTCATCATTGTTACCAGACCTCTTTTTTTTTTTTGGCTGAAACATTCTTTTCTTAATTTTATCTATGTCATAGGATCTTAACTATCTTCATAACTTTTAGTATGCTCTTGGTTTTCCTTGTTGCTCCAACAACCTAAATATGGACATAGTCTTCCACCACAGTCTTTATCAATTCAACAAATGTCTATTGAGACTCTACTGAAAACCATGTGTTGTGCTAGGTGCTAGGAGTACTGCAGAGAATGAGGCACACATGATCCTTGCCCTCATAGAGCTTCAGTTGCTAGACTAGAAGTCAGCAAACTAAAGTCTCCAGGCCAAATCCAGCTGTACACCTATTTTTGTAAATAGATTTTTCTTGGAACGCAGCCATGCCAATTCATTTAAATATTGTCTACAGCTGCTTTTGGGATACAATGACATGGTTGATTAGTTGCAGCAGAGATCTTTAGAACACAAAGCCTGAAATGTTTATTCTCTGGCTCTTTACAGAAAATGTTGGCTAATTCTGGTTGACTCTAGATCCATCTTCAACTGTGGTAGCTCTTTAATCTTTATCTTGGAGAGCACATTCCTGATTTCTTACTGTTTCAATCACTTCTACAGAAATGATTTCAAAACCTCTAGTCATAGTCATGATCTCTCTTTTGAACTTCAGTCACATATTTCTAATTGCCTATTTAACATTTTCCTCCCCTGCACACACATGCTGGCAAGTAAACCACCATTATTTCAAGACAGCTAAGACTGAGTTTATCTTTTTCCCAAAGCCAACTGTTTTCTACCATCAATCTCCCAAACACTAGGACTTAAGATTTTGGAGTCTCATTTTCTTCTAGCATCCAGGTTTTAAAAGGTTTAAAAACTTTAAATATTCTCCATATCTATCAACTAATGCTTGTTTCTACTGCCACTACCTAGGTTTGGACCTCAAAATCTTATATGTTGAATATGGTAATCATCAATCTTCTTACAGTTAATCCCTTATGTCTTCAATGATCTGTCAGTCAGTCTCCCTGAGACATCACCTTGTATATGTCATCAAAATCCTTCTCTTTACCAAGAGTGTAGCTTCTCATGACAAAGATTAGGGATTCTCAATCTGTGGCTAGGGCTTTCTTTTGTAGAGATGCTACAGAACAACTTCAAGGGGCCCATAGATTCCATTAAATAAATGAAGAATTGCCTGGAGGCTGAATAAACAAGTACCTGAGAAGATGTATCACGATCTGTTTTTCAAATACATGCAGATGTTCTTCCAATAATGAAAAAGTTCAACCTGGGCAACATGGCAAAATCCCATCTCTACCAAAAAATACAAAAACTAGCCAGGTGTGGTGGGAAGCGCCCATAGTCCCAGCTACTCAGGTGGCTGAGGTGGGAGGATCACTTGAGCCTGGGAGGTTGAGTCTGCAGTGAGCCGAGACTGCATCAGTGCCCTCCAGCCTGGGTAACAGAGAGAGACCTTGTCTCAAAAACGAACAAACAAAAAAGCAAAAAAAAAAATACAAAGTTGCTTATGTAAGTTATTGATATGGTTTGGCTGTGTCCCTACCCAAATCTCAACTTGAATTGTAGTTCCCATAATTCTCACGTGTTATGGGAAGGACTCAGTGGAAGATAATTGAATCATGGCGTCAGTTTCTCTGTACTGTTCTCATGGTAGTGAATAAGTCTCACCAGCTCTGATGGGTTTATAATGGATTTTCCTTTTCACTTGGCTCTCATTCTTTCTTGCCTGCCACCATGTAAGATATGACTTTGTTCCTCCTTGCCTTCTGCTGTGGTTGTGAGGCCTCCCCAGCCATGTGGAACTGTGAGTCCATTAAACCTCTTTTTCTTTCTAAATTACCAAGTCTCTGGTATGTCGTTATCAGCAGTATGAGAAGAGATTAATTCAGTTACCACTTTAGTTGTAACTTTTTTCTCATTCTCTGTTTTCTGCAGCAATAGATTCTAAAAGTGTAACCTTTTTTTGTCTGTATTTTATAATTAAATGGTCCTAATTGGCCATTAAATGCCTACTTTCCCATGAGGAAGGGTCTGTTAACAATTCACAAGAAAACTATGGAAGCCTAAAACCTCAGCATTTGGAGGGGAACGTAAAAGGCTTAAAAATCTTTAAATGTAACTATATCCTTTCCTCTCTTCTTGGATGAAAGCTATGGATTTGGAGTATTTTGTGAGGTACAGGAACACCTTGAGAAAAGAGATGGCTGTTTAAGCCTAATTCAGTTCTAGACTTCAAAGAAAAGGAATTTGAGGGCTCCTGGTCGTTTGTACACTATCTGCCTCTGCTGGTCAGAGACCATGAGCATATTAGGGTTCTGGACAGAAGCTTTAATAAATGATGTGCATTTGGCAGCCATGTCCTCCTAGTCATATTTCCTGGAAACCCAAAAGAGGTAGTGGAAAAGTGAACACAAATATAGCTGCACAGCAGGGGAAGAAAATTACTAAAAACAATATCCACATTCTTGGCCTTGCAGTATCTGTGTCATTCAGTTTAGCCCTTTTTCCTGGTTGTAGTTTTTTCTCCCACCACCGTCTCCCTATGGACTATTTGATAAGTGATGGCAGTTCTCCCGTTCCCTAGCATATTATGTCATGGCATCCCTGACACCTAGTGCAGTGCCATCAACCAGCAAGCAGGGACCAACTCAAAACTGTGGGTGTTGCCATTATCCACTGGCTGAAGAGTAATCATAAAACTCTTATTTTTGCTCATGTGTTGAGTCATTTGTCATGGTGGGTACTCAGAACAATTTATGGAAACCGTATCTCAGAAACCTCTCTGACATCACAGAACTCAAAAGGAGGTACACTGGGGAGTGGGAAAAGATATAGATACAGAATTGTCAACTAGTAGCTGATTAACTCTGTGCTACACAATTTCTCAGAATTTTAGTCCACTCTGTGGTAACTTGGAATAATATCTACCACTCATTGCAGTTATAATAACTGAAGGAAATGAAATATATAAGGATTCAGCATGGTTCCTGATACATAGTTGGCAACCCAACAGTTGTTCTTAGAGGAGGGAAGAAGAGAAGGGGGTATCAATCTAAAATGATGACTGTTATATATATTCCACCTGGTTTAGTATATGTCTGAATTACAGTTGGTCTGGGATTACATTCCAAGGATATCCATAGTAGGGAAGGTTGCTCTGACACAGTCAAAGACAGTTATTGGGTCTGGGAAATCAGGAGTGAATTAACACTTATGGAGCTCCTATTACATAGCCAATTTAGTAGGCATCTTATATATATTTTTATTTCATGCTCACATCTGTTCTGACACAAATGTTATTTGTGTGTGTGTGTTTCTGACCATAAGAAGAATATGGCCAGAAAAAGTTTGAAACACTGCTTGCATCCATACTGTTACTTAACAGCAGAGGAAAGACTTGAGGCCAGTTCTAGGTGACTCTAGAGCTTTTCCACTCTTTCTCAATCACTAGGATATCTCTTCTAATCATTTTTTTTTATGTCTTGTCAAGTCGTTCTTATCAATTTTCATGCAGACCACTGCCCAACTAGTGTGTGTATTATTACCGTTTTCTTCATTCCAACAAATTTCATTTTATTAATAAAAAAGGTAGCAAATTTTTACAAAAGTTAAGTCCACATATCTGGAATGATAATTCTAGGAATGTCTGAAGAAACAAGGACTATCCTAAGAATAAGTGTTGCACTTATTCTCAGACACTTTAGTAGTCATCCAACTACCTAGCATAAAAACAGCTTAGCCCATGATGGGAGTCAGGACTGCCATGGCTGGCTTTGTGCCTTTGCCCTCATTCTTTGAGTCTGAACGAAATATAACTTTGATTTCTAGAAAGTCCAATTTTTTCTCCTCATTTATTGTAGCAGAGAATTGGAAGAAACTGTTTACAGCCAGGACTTGCAGGGTGTAGCTCTCAAAAACTGGCTTATATATAAGTAAATAGTAAGTAAAATAATGAAAAATGAAGACATCCTTCAAGAAACAGCTCTAGGTTTTTAAAAATGATTATTTCTGTTTGCCTGCAACTGTAAAAATGAGTTTCAGGTAATAGCTTTTCTTTTATGTGGTAAATGATGAATGATCATTTAAACATTGTCTCATCTACTAACCAAGACATAAAAAAATTAAAGCTTACTGTGCTAAAAGGGAATTTGAAGACTAGAGTCACCTGATTTTTTAACTCAGTGATTACATCATGGAGAAATTCATTGGTCCTTACTTCAACTCTGGAATTGCATAAAATATATTTTCCCAACCAAGAAAATCAAGCCTTTTAGCTTCTACACATTACATTTTTTCTGAATCCTGTAAATGTGTGTTTCATGCAAGTTAGTATCCCTTTTAGACTTTGGAAAATGTGATGTCAAACTTAACTACCTGAATTAGTTTGTTCTCACACTGCTATGAAGAAATAGCCAAGACTGGGTAATTTATAAAGGAAAGAGGTTTAATTGAC